AGGGAAAAGTGATTTAAATCCACATACTATTTGGCTGCAAGACAACCTTTCTGTCTGTGGTTGACAGTTTAGCAGTATGTGTAGAGCTGGACTGCACATAAGATGTGATACAGGGATGATGAAGGTTAATTTGAACTAGACTAATACAACATACCAAAAGAAATTTGGACCGAGAAGTTTTATTGACTGTTTTGCTGGTAAGCAGTCAAGGATCTTAGTTCTATTATAGTCCAAATACAAGGTAGATGAAATCAGGATATCCTGAAGTAAAGTTTCACTGTGTAGATGGACTGATTTAAAAAGTGTACTTTGATGTTTTCTTAATATGGTGTAGTGATGGGCATCAAAGGATGACGTGTTCATATGATTGAGGAGCTGAGCGAGACCATCATTTCATTTCAGCGAGGTAAAACCCCAACGTACGCTCGCTTTAGGTCTGACCAGAGTTATATAACAATTTGCATTGTGTTTTCTGTGGCATGGACTAATATAAATTGATTGTTGTTGAATGAGTTGGCTACTAGCATATGTTGAACTAACATGACATCTATTGTGACTACTGTTTATTTTATTTAGTATTCTGTCTGACGACAGGTCCATATGAACAGGATCCTTCCATCCTTTTCTCGGACTGGGACCTGATGATCCAGAAGTGGTTTACCATTGCCTTCTTCTGTGTGTGAATGGAGTAATTGTTGGGATGCCACGGAGAAACCGGGGAAGCCCCCGAAGGAAAACTCCGTGTTGCCTAGACCACGGCCTTACCCAACACAAGTTATAAATTTGGGCACCGCCGGGAATCGAACCCGAGACCCCAGGATTACAAGGCCAGCGTAATCCTAGGGTCTCACAGTCAGAGTAGAATAATATTATGGCTTAAGTTAATTACCTAACTTTCGTATTACAAATCAGTCCCCCAGTATTATGTTTATCTTACAACAGTTTGATATTCTGCTAGAAGCAATCAATTGATTACATTTCTTGGAACTTTTTCTGAAAGATTTGTTTAAATAATATAATTACTAATGTCAGTGCCTGAGATTGCTTCCTTCTAACATCAACATTTATTTCTCTTTTGACTGATCATGGTGTCTGCAATGCAGACATCTTCATAAGAAACAAATTATTTCTTTTCCTCACAGATATGGAACTAAATTGGCCAAGTTATTTTAAGGTGTATGGATGTGAGAAGTC